TATGCAATCATCGTGCAAGAAGTAGAAAGAGAAGATGATGAAAGCCCCAGTTTTCTGGGGAAGATTTACCAGATCGATATTGGATATAGTGAATATAAAATAGTGAGCTCCCTTGACTTGTACAAATTTTCCAGACCAGAGGAAAGCTCTCAAGGCAGAGATAGCACACCTTCTACCCCAACCAGTCCTACAGAATTTCCAGCACATGGACCAAGGGCAATTCCACCTATCTTCACTGGTAGAGAGAGCCACAAAACAATGTCCTCAAAACACCACTCTCCAAAAAAGATGAAGTCAAACTCATTGCCAGAAATATTAAAAGAAGTGACATCTGTGATTGAACAGGCTTGGAAGCTTCCAGAATCTGAAAGAAAAAAGATTATTAGGAGGTTGTATCTTAAATGGCACCCAGATAAAAATGCAGAGAATCTTGATATAGCTAATGAGGTTTTCAAACACTTACAGAATGAGATTAACAGGATGGAAAAACAGGCCTTTATGGATCAGAATATGGACAGAGCCTCAAGGAGACCCTTTTCATCTTCTGCTTCTCGATTTCAGTCAGATAAATTTTCATTTCAGAGATTTTACACTTCATGGAATCAGGAAGCAACAAGCCACAAATCTGAAAGGCAACAGTACAAAGAAAAGTGTCCCTCCTCCACAGGGCCATCTTATTCCCAGCGCTTTTTTGTCCCACCTACATTCAGGTCCGTTGGCAATCCTGTGGAGGCACGTCGATGGCTTAGGCAGGCCCGAGCCAACTTTTCAGCTGCACGAAATGACCTTCATAAAAATGCCAATGAATGGGTGTGCTTTAAGTGCTACCTTTCTACTAAACTAGCCTTGATTGCAGCTGACTATGCTGTGAAGGGCAAGTCAGACAAAGACATAAAACCAGCAGCCCTTGCACAAAAAATAGAGGAGTACAGTCAGCAACTTGAAGGACTTTCAAATGATGTTCAGACATTGGAGGCTTATGGAGTAGATAGCTTAAAGACTAGGTATCCTGACTTACTTCCTTTTCCACAGATTCCCAATGATAGGTTTACTTCAGAAGTTGCTATGAGAGTGATGGAATGTACTGCTTGTATCATAATAAAACTTGAAAACTTCATACAACAAAAAGTATAAATTATTTGAAAAGGTCAGGGGACTGTTTTGTCAAGAATTAGCTGTTTCAAGTGGCAAGATACATATGCAATTCTGCAGATTATGGAATGTCCAAGAGGTTGCATGGTGCCAAGTGGTTTAGAAGTGTCCTGCACAAAGGTTGATGGTACTAAGGTATTTAGAACTGAAATTTACTTAAATGGGATTTTTTTTCTTAACTGAGCCTGCTGTTAAGCAAACTGTAAAACCTGAATATTTTTTAGAAGTTGCAAGGAAATTGAGCTGCAAAAAATAGATGTATGTACAACATTGTGATTGGCATATTATTGAACTGCACTTTATATAACCAAAGCTTAGCTTTCTGTTAGATGAAGCCTGTAATTATAAATAACTCTTTATTACATTTATTTCGTTTAGTGTAATGTTACTGAAAGGGTAATGTCAGTTTTCAATGTACTAATCTTAAGACTGGACATACAATGAAATGGGAAATGGGGTGGAATTTAAATAACTTTGGAGATACTACTCCAGAGCATATCTGTATTCTTTTGCGTTCTGTAGACATTCATGTCACTCATAGTAATACTCTTATCAGCTGGATCTGATTATAAATTTGCTGCAGCATCACACTGTAAACATTTAAAGGATAGTTTAGTACATGTAAACTGGTACAGTTATTTTAATGCTGAATAATGATACTTGATTTAACATGCCACATCATGTCATGCATTGATTGCATTTACTTTATTATAAAATAATTAAGTATTTAATTTAGTTTTTTTTAGAGCCTGTCATCTTTTGTTTAATGAAAAAGCATGTGGATGATATAAAATCTGTGAACATTATTATATGGTGTTTTGTGATATTTTTTGGAACACCAAAACTCAGTTTTCAGATGCCTAAATGCTTGAGGTCCTTTTGTTTCCCCTGCGTGTGTGCCTTTGTGTGTGTACATAAATGTATATTTTTCCACAAACATTGGTAATAGTACAATTCAGTAACTCATTTTTGGTGTACACAGAGCACTGTTTTTTGTTACATGTTTAAAGGTGCTGCAATGTAATGCTGGTTTTATTTTGTTATTCACTACAGCCCTTGAGAAATATGATTATTAGTTCACACTTTTTCTTTTATAGTTTGTAATACTTTTGGTAATTGTCATGCAGTATGTTCAACATTAGCTTTTTGTAAAAAAATTTATAAAATAAAAAAGGATAATGCTAAATGAAAGGTATTTTTTTTTTTTTTTTTTGCTGGATCAGCCACATTAAACATAAATGTCAAACATTTTCCAGGGGCACACTGTTACACTTGTCTACTTGACAGCACAGTGAAACTGTAATTTAACTTACAGAATATAAAGGAAAATAAACAACAGCAAGTTTGCAGGGCTGATGCAGTTGTGATAGTGTTGTAATACAAAAACAAAAAATCACAATCAAAAATGCCTCAGTTTTAATTATAAAGGCCTTGTTCTTGAAGAATTGTGACAGTTGGAAAATGATACTGCTTCTGATTGTGGAGCCCTATTATTATTTCTGCTATTAAATTAAGTGCCATAAATTTAATAAAGAAAAATGCAAACATGCAATTCAGTCCGATGTGTTTTGATTTTATAATGTAAGCTATCTTTACATATTTGAAGCTTTTATATAGGTAAATACACAATCTTTTTTTGATTAATTCTAAATAATTGTACAAATATTAAAATACTATTGAAAAGGACACTTCAATTTTTTTTTTTTTTTTGCAATGACAAATGTTTGCAGTTTTCTCAAACAAATTGTACATTTTGCTGATTTTTTGCAATAAATAGCATGTAAGTAAAACACAAATCCTGTTGTGCCATGAAATAAATCAGTTTAGTTAATTCCCTATGTTTTTAAACTAGATTCCTTTGTGGTTCTTCACTTTGTGCATTAACTCAGATGAATAGTATTCAGGGTAAGAAAAATACTTGGAATGGAAACAGTTCTTATGCTTTTCATTTTAAATGGAGCTAAAGCAAAAGGTTTATTGGAAGCATGCAAAAGTGTAACAGGAGCACCATGAACACTTTCCTGCTTTTATGTGAGCTCTTGAGGAAGAAAATCTTCTAAATGTATAACTATGTTTTATAAGCAACTTATGTTGCCTTGCCAGTGTTATTATTATAAAGTGTTAACATGGCTGTGTAGAACCACTAAACTATTCTGTTACAATTTTTATTTTGTTTATTTTGTATATTTTGTTGAGTGCTGACACTGAGAAAGAAAATGGTCCCAGTTCTTAGGAAGCTAAAGGTCTGAAGCAATTTTAAACACTGAGCCAAGCTGAGAAAGAAAACTTGAATGACACAGAAACACTAATTAATTCTTTTATTCCTGAATTGAAATGAACAATGAAATTTATATTTGGCTGCAGAGGGACAGACAGGTGAGGTGTCTCAGTTGGAAGTCTCTTAGTTTCTTATTTGCTTAACTCACTGTAACAGCTAGCCTAAATAAAGAGGTTTTGTGTGACCAGGAGACCATATTCTGACAGAACCTGATTTTGCAAGTGGCATTTAATTCCTGATTAAAAATAAAAACACATAAATGTTTAATTGAGTCTTCCTTTTGGCTCAGCTGGGAGACTTGGCAATGTGTCTAAGTCAGGTATGGAGGTTTAGAACAGTTAGGATGTGATGATTCCGTAGTAAGGGTTTGTAGAAGTAAATGTTAGCATGTAGGTTCCACAAAAATACATTTAACAAGTAATTCTGCACATTAAATGAGTTCTCATGAGAGAAAGTATCTTTTCATTCAGCTCTATCTCCTACCTTCCACAGGTACCAGCAGTTTATCTAGGAGAAGCAGCTCCAGTTCTTGTCTCCCAAAATTACGGTTGGGGAGTTTAACAAGAAGTCAGTGGTATAGGAAGCTCATTCAACTATATATAAGGCAGCTTAAATCTAAGGAACTGCAGTTGGAATAAGCCTTGATAGGCTTGTTACTATCTTGTGCTTTAAAAGCTGTCCTCTCAAACAATGAGGTGTTGCACAGCTATTCTAAAAAGCACAGGACACTTCCCTCAGCAATTAGTGACAAGAAAAATACCTTTTGTTAGTTTGTGGTTTTGTTCTGTTTTTTTTTTTTTTTTT